ATGAGTCGGTGAAACTCCGACGAAACAGTTTGTCACAGCCCCTCGTTTGTTGTCCTCTTCTCTCTCTCTGCCTACGGTTTTACCGGGCAGTTCTGTTTGTGACGATATATATATCGTCACAAACAGAACTGCCCGGTAAACCATAGGCAGAGAGAGAAGAGGACAACAAACGAGGGGCTGTGACAAATATATATATATATATATATCGTCAAATAGATATATATATATCTTCTGCCTCTCTGCCTACGGTTTACCGGGCAGTTCTATTTGATGATATATGACGATATATATATATATATACGGTTACCGGGCAGTTCTATTTGACGATATATATATATACGCACAGGGTTGCCGGCGTTCGGGATGGGCCGAACGCATGAATGTTCGAGACCCCCTCTCGACGTGTTCGGCCGTTCGGCAGAACGCAGACCCCAAAAAAAAAAAAGAAAAAAAAAGAAAGGAATTTCAAAAAAGCTGAAAAAGATATATATGTTATGCAGAAGACTAAACTGAACAACATTTGCCTCAACGTTACATCCAAATTCTGTACCAAATTTGCAATAAAAATCAAATACGAAAAATAATTAATAGTAATGATAATTAGAAGAAAGAAAACGAGAATGAAATTGAGTGGGCGAGCACGTTTTTGACACCGCAATCTTTGGCTTTTTTTTTTTGTTTTTTGGCTTTGACAAATGCCATGAAAATTATATATGTGTATCTTACGTAATAGAGAACCTAAAAATAAGGTTTGACAAAATAATAATTTTTTTCATGCCCCAAAATAAAGGGAAAACTAAAAGTGAAAAGAGAGAAAAAAAAACAAATTAGTGAGTGGGCAAGCAAGTTTTAAATAGAATAGGTCGAGTGTGTTTCACCCCCGAGGCCTCTAATCATTCGCTTTACCCGATAAAACTGTTCAAGAGCTCCAGCTATCCTGAGGGAAACCTCGGAGGGAACCAGCTACTAGACGGTTCAATTAGTCTTTCGCACCTATACCCAAGTCCACCGAACGCCACCAACTTTGCCGATTTTTCATTATTTTTTGGCTCAGCAGAATGCCTTGAAAGTTAAGAGGAAGCTACCTTACATCTACGTTACCGAACGTACATGTACGGGGCCTTTCCGTACGAAACGTACAGATAATATATGTACGGGAACCTGTACGGCCCCGTACGACCCGTCTGCAACATCCCAAAACAAGCAACATTTGCCTGAGCATCATCTGCAGATTCTTATTAGAATTGGAGAGAAAAAAAAAAAACAGTAAAAAAAAAAAAAAAAACTCGTACGGGCCTTGAGTACGAGTAGCGTACAAGAAATGAGTACAACTTGTACTCGTACGGGGGTGAGTACGAGTCGCAACGTAGCCTTACATTACAAAGAACTCGCAGAAAACAAATTCTGAAAAAATATATGTAATAGTTTGTCACAGCCCCTCGTTTGTTGTCCTCTTCTCCCTCTCTGCCTACGGTTTACCGGCCAGTTCTATTTGACGATATATAGATGCAAAAATGAGTTTTTGCGGGGTCCGAACCCCTTCAGGTTCGGGCCCGGTACGGGGACCCGAGCGCCCGAACGTTCGGGGGTCATCTTAGGTACGTTCGGCCGGGCAACCCTTTGAGCCCTTTCGACCCCCCCCCTTATACCCCATAGACACCCTTTGGTGAGATATCGCCAAACTCAAAGATAAGGCCGGATTTGGGCACGTCTCAGTGGGCACAAAATTGCCCCACTGCCGGGGAAAGAAAAAAAAAAAGAGATCCCCTTTTGGGTGTTGCCC